TTAGGTCTTCTGCCCATTTGTAAAATCAGGTTGTTTGTTTTTTGATGTTGAGTTGTATGAGCAGTTTACATATTTTGGATATTGACTCCTTATTGGTCATATCATTAGCAAATATTTTCTCCAGTTCAGCTGGTTGTCTTTCTGTTTTGTTGATAGTTTCCTTTGCTGTGCAAAAGCTTTGAAGTCTAACTAGGTCCCATTTGTTTATTTTTGCTTTTATTTCCTTTCCTTTAGAAGACAGATCCAAGAAAATATTGCTATGATTTATGTCAAATAGTGTTCTGCCTATGTTTTCCTCTAGGAGTTTCATGACCTCCAGTCTTACATTTAGGTCTTTAATCCATTTTGAGTTTTTTTTTGGCTGCGTCGGGTCTTAGTTGCAGCACGAGGGATCTTTGTTGGGGCACGCAGGATCTTTCATTGCGGTGTGCGGGCTTCTCTCTAGCTGTGTTGTGGGGGCTCTGTAGTTTGCAGCACGTGGGCTTAGTTGCCCCTCAGCATGTGGGATCTTAGTTCCCTGGCCAGGGATTGAACCCGTGTCCTCTGCATTGGAGGGCAGATTCTTTACCACTGGACCACCAGGGAAGTCTCAATTTTGGGTTTATTTTTGTATATGGTATGAGAAAATGTTCTAATTTCATTCTTTTTTTTTTAAAATAAATTTATTTATTTATTTTTGGCTGCCTTGGGTCTTCATTGCTGTGCGCGGGCTTTTCTCTAGTTGCGGCGAGCAGGAGCCACTCTTTGTTGTGGTGCGCAGGCTTTTCATTGCGGTGGCTTTTCTTGTTGTGGAGCACAGGCTCTAGGCGCACGGGCTCCGTAGTTGTGGCACGCAGGCTTAGCTGCTCCGTGGCATGTGGGATCTTCCTGGACCAGGGCTCAAACCCATGTCCCCTGCATTGGCAGGTGGATTCTCAACCACTGTGCCACCAGCAAAGCCCTAATTTCATTCTTTTACATGTAGCTGTCCAGTTTTCCCAGCACTACTTATTGAAGAGATTGTCCTTTCTCCATTGTATATTCTTGCCTTCTTTGTCATAAATTAATTGACCATAAGCATGTGGGTTTTTTTCTGGGCTCTCTATTCTGTTCCATTGATCTATGTGTCTGTTTTTATGCCAATACCATGCTGTTTTGATTATTGTAGCTTTGTAGTAGTTCACAACATTTTCTGATTCTGGTTTTGGGTGGTGATTTAGAAAGAGGGCCTCCCCAAATTCTCTGCCAAAGACTCATCTTCCCTAAGTTTAGTTCTTACCTTATTGGTCTCAGTAGGAAGCAGGGGAGAAAACTCAAAGCATTTGCCAGAAGAGGGTTTAATGAAGGAAATATTTACAGAGGTGTTGGCAGGAATGGTGAAGCACCCTGGGGCTCACAACAGTGGGATAGAGTCACTAGTCCCAGGGTCTGAAGGGGCAAGGGAGGGAGCCTTGTTAAGGAACCTGGCAGGAGTCGTGCCCTGGGGTTGCAGGCCACCCAACAGGAGCTGTGCCTTTCAGTGGAGGAACATAGTAACTGTCAAAATCACGGTATTATAAATATCCTGATCTCACTCTCCTTCCCTCTGATCTCCTGGCAATGCCTCCTACTGGCCAAACTTTACCTGAAACCATAAGGCGAGGGGGCCCAGGTGAGATTGTCAGTGGTAGTCAGCCCCAGGACACAGGTCAGGGCAGAGGAGCACAGAGAATGAAGGGTAGGCAAAGAGTAGCCAGCCCAGGGGCTTCTCCTTTCTTCGTGGACCCGGCTTTGTGGAGGGGCTGAGAGACAGAGTGGCTGTGCTTGTCTCTCCAAGCAGTCTGTGCCTGATGCCGGAATGCCCTTTCTCCTCTTCCAGGCCCAAGTTCCTTCGTCCGTGAGGTTGTCCCCAGTCCTGGAGTTAATCTCTCCCATCCTTGGCTTCCTTGGTTCTCAGTGCCTAGCCCATCACTCAGCTCAGCGATTTAGCATTATTCTCTGCAGGGGTTTGTCGCCCCAGGGGACAGTTCTAGCATCCTCTACACTGTGAGCTCTTTGCAGGCAGGGCCCTGGGCCAAAGAAGGCCATTGACTCTGACACAGGACCCAGCACAGGCCAAGTGCCCACGTTTGCCAAGTGAACGGAGTCCTGTAGCCTCACTCACCTCCCTCTGCCTTGGTGTACACAGCCTGGGCACATGTGTATGTCTTTCCCTGAGTACAAAGGGGTTCCTTGGTGGCGAGTGGCCCAGGCCAGGCACACAGCAGGCATCAAATGTTGCCTGAACTGGCCTAGGGAGGACCATCCTCCTTTCCTTCATTCAGTCAACAACTTTTTGAGATCCTACTATATGCCAGGCCCTGTGCTGGGCCCTGGGGACACAGAAGTGAACAAGACACACAAAGTCCCTGCCTTCATGGGGTTTCCGTTCTAGTGGGGGAAGCAGAAAAGGAAGGAATGGAAAATGTACAATATTATTAAAGATTGCAGTAAGTGCTGTACAGAAAGTAAACAAGATGATGAGACAAACAGTAAAAGGATGGATATTTATGTGGGAGAGGAGCACAACAGGGAAGGTCTTTCTGAGGAGATCACATGAAAGCTGAGACCTGAAGAAGAGAGGACATGAAGAGCTGGAAGGGTATTCTAGGGAGAGGGAAGAGCAAAAACAAAGGACCGGAGGTGCTTCTGGGACCCCGGGGGATTCAGTGTTTCAGCCTAAAGAAGGGCTTAGGGGGAGTTTAAGAGCGGT